TCATCACAAAAATTTCTATATGAGAATGCGACTTTGATTCACCTCTTGAGGCTCAAAACTTGTAACATTATTTCACAATGCAATACGTACGTAGTATAATTTAGAAATCAATCACGCATCTAGTTTGAATAGCTTAATTAATAATATTGACAGCAAGTGATTGAGATCTTTTGGACATTGACCTAATAAAAATGACATTTTCTGTTTGTAAATGCAATTTTTACCCAACCCATGGTAAAAAGATGTCACTAGAAGAAAAATAAAAATGTTTACTTCACTCAGAGTAGGTCCCTAAGGAATACTTCAGTCTCTGCATTTTTGTGCAAATCCATGGAAAGTCTGAACTGGAAAGAAAAATACTGTACTCAACCCAATTTCACACACGAAAGTTAAAAAGTAAGTAGGAAAGTAAGTCAGCTAGTACTGGAGAACCAAAAAGCAACAGCAAGTTAAGCTAGATGGGCAAGGCAAGTAAGTGGGAAAGAGAAAAAAAGAAACAATGTTTATAGTCTAGAGAGAGATGAAAAGGGGAGAAAAAAGTGTGCAACGGCCAGCGGAAAAGGAAGAAAGTTTAGGGGAAAAGTTGAGAAAATTGAGTAAAAGAGGGGGACACACCACCCCAGTGGTACCCTATTGGAGACTAAAACAATTAGAATATCAACTCCATATACAGGCTGATTCTCCACATAATGGTGGAGCTGCAGCCCAAGATAGCACCTTTGAAAACACCCCTTTTACTCTTCCTTGTGTTTCTTCGAGAAAACTTGCTGCGACTCTTTGGGAATTGCAGCACTACAAGCTGCCACTTTCTAAAATGCACCAGGGTGTTAGTGTTCTACCGCCGCACCTCCGCCGCCTCCACCACCAGAATAAGGGCAGTCTTGAACCACCTGATCCTTCACCTGGTTCACCTGACCTGGTAAAGATCAGAAATTTCCTCTTTGTTGTTCTTTTATCTTTAATATAAAGCTAAAGGTATTCTTGTTAAAAAGATACTAATTTTAATATATGGATATCTCAAGAATTTGTTCTTGGAATGCTTCAGATGAGTAATTTTGATCAAAGTTTGTTATTTTCAGTGACTTATTTTCTGGGTTCAAAAGTATTTGATTATTTTTAGAAAAAGACAATTTGATTATTTTGATGGTCCTGTATTGTGCAATACAATTAGTGGTTCTTGTTGATTTAAAGTACAATATTTTTGTAAAGATTATCAATTTATTTGTTTGTTGTTTTCAGTATATACTTATTGTGCTTAGTTTGATCTCAAGGACATCATTAAACTTCATAACATCTATTTGTGTTAATCTTTTGCTTCTGCTTATTGGATTTGTTATTAATTTCCTTTTTCCTAAATCCTGATAAGTGTCAGCTTTTACCAATGGTTTTCTGGATTTGAATAATTCAGCAAGGATTAAGTTTCTTCTAAATTTGGATTAACTGTAATAAGCTCAAAAAATTTCCCCTCAGATTGCATAGAGGGTGCAGCAAGAGGCGTGTAATTGCCTTTAACTTCGAGTTTCATCAAATAAAAGAGAAAAGGAGGTTAGAGGAGATAGGATTGATATTTTCTCTCATAACCCTTTTCTCTTTATAGATTGCAGCGGCAGGAGAGGATGTAGTCTCACGAGGAGAATCTCTATAAATCTTGAGTATTCTTATTTTATTTTTATTTTTTTTATTTCTTTGAATTAATTGCTCTTGGTGGGATAGAATTAGTGTTTATAATTCTCGACAGTATTGTGTCTATGAGGACTCATCAGATAAATTAAATGATATGTGAATTTTCAGTCATATTTTCTGTTTCCCAACTGATGACAGCCAGGAAGTGCTAGCAGTTTAAAGAGGCAAGTTGCTGCATCACTGGTGCAACATCATCGATCAATCGAAAGGAGTCATCGTGCTATACAACCTGTTTCACCGGCAAGTTATTGTAGTTCACTTGAGGTAATTCTTGGCCTTAGAATTTTTGTTCATGCTTATCTTAGTAGAGTTGCTTGTTTAATCATGCTATACAACCTGTTTCACTGTCGATGGAATTGAACGAAATGACATGAAGCTTGACTTTACCAAACTGCTTAGAACTCACGTGTAAGTTCATTCTGCACGAAATATTTGGCCACCCACAGATATTATCCTCATTAACACTTCAAACCATTTCTTATTTGACCTTGCAAAATATTGTGATGATTTTTTTGGACATCTCTTATTTGTTCATTGCGCATTCACGTACCTTATGCTTAGGTTAAATAGAACTAGTTACTCTCGTAACTTCATTCGCTCTTAGGATACAATAGCGAAAAGATTTTTGATAGAAGAGAGGAAACATGCTTTGTCTGTTTGATTCCCATTAATTGGAAAGAAAATGAATAGTATTTTTAAGAGAATGTGTGGTTAAAAAGTATGAAAAATTTTGGGAGAATTTGTAGAATATTTTATTATGTGAATGTGTAGTTGAAAATTTTTGTGTAGCAAACCATAAAGTAAATTAATGGGAATCAAACAAGCGCAAAATATTCAATCAATCAATCTTGTAGGAGCAACTGATGTAACATACTAACATGTGAAAACTTTCTCAAATCAAATGGGTTCAATGTTTTGTTTTTATGTCATTTGTTCTTTATTTTGATTGAAAAGGTTTTGATGATCATTAGCTCAACGATAAGTGCGACCTCAGGTCATCACCTCCTTGTCATTGAAGTTATGAAATAATCTTATTAGGTCAGTAGATTTCTCCATCTAACTTTTAAAAATCTCAAATGGGACGTAAACACCTAAAAATTCTTTCGGTCGCATTTTCTTTCTGATTTTTCATCATACGCACAGATAATTGTACTATAGTTCCGTCTCTTTTCTTGTCTGTATGCAATTGCATTTAAATCTAAGTACTAGCATTCAGAAATGGAACTCATTCGTGGTTCTATTATGCTCTATTTGCCTAGATTCAATGTTGTATTATAATGAGAAAAAAGAAATAATAGAAAGAAAATGAGAAAGGGTTGATGAGGTTTCTGATAATCTTTTAGTTGTCATGGTTTCTTTTTATCGACAGCTTCAATGACTTTCAGATTAGTAATGTCTTCTCATAAAAATTTTTGGAATAAGATTCAATCTTGAATTTCTTCTTGGATCATTCATCTTTTTGTTAAACTCATTTCAAATTTTTATGTAATAATTTCCATTGCAGATCACACCTTATAACCCTACTGCTACCCCCACGAGCTCCATTGATTTGAAGGGAAGGATCGGGGAGACAAGTCAGAGATTGAAAACTTCTACAGAACTGTTAAAAGTTTTGAATCGTATATGGGTCCTGGAAGAACAGCACGTGTCCAATATATCACTTGTCAAGGCATTAAAAAGGGACCTAGATCATGCTCGTTCCCGAATCAAAGAGTTGGTCAGAGAGCAGCAAACTGAACGACTCGAAATAGATGATTTGATGAAGCAGATTAAAGAAGATACACTCATTCGAAAGAACAAGGAGCAGGATCGAATCAATGCTGCTATTCTTTCTCTGAGGGAGGAACTGGAAAATGAAAGGAAGTTGAGAAAGCGTTCCGAAAGTCTGCACAGACAGTTAGCTCGGGAACTTTTTGAGGTGAAAACAACTCTTACTAGCACTTCCAAAGAACTGGAGAAAGAAAGGAAATCGAGTAAGTTATTGGAAGATCTATGCGATGAGTTTGCATGGGGAATAAGAGATTATGAACAGGAGTTGCATGCTGTGAGACAAAAATATGACAAGGATGGGGCCGAAAGAGCTGATCACGATCGTTTAATTCTTCATGTATCAGAATCGTGGCTTGATGAACGTTTGCAGATGAAGCTAGAATCTGAGAGTGCTTTAGGGGCAAAGAAGTCAGTTGTGCAGAAATTGAGCTCAGAAATAGAGGCTTTTCTTCGAGCTAGAAGTGGGAACAAGACTAATCGTAATCTGGATCAAAGGGATCCCACTATCCGTAGAAATTCTCTGGAATCCATTCCACTTAATGTGGCTGTTAGCGCTCCTCGAGATGAAGATGACTCTGCAGGTAGTGAGGAAATAGAGGCTTTTCTTCGAGCTAGAAGTGGGAACAAGACTAATCGTAATCTGGATCAAAGGGATCCCACTATCCGTAGAAATTCTCTGGAATCCATTCCACTTAATGTGGCTGTTAGCGCTCCTCGAGATGAAGATGACTCTGCAGGTAGTGATTCAAACTGCTTTGAGCTAGCAAAACCGAGTGCATCTAACCTAAAATCCCTAGAAAATGAATATGAGGAAAACCATTATGATGAAACAATGAAGGTAAAGCCGGCAAAGAAAAAAGTTGGGTCATCTGAAAGGACAAAAGGTCTGAGTCCATCCAGTTTGCAAGTGAAGTTTGAAGAACAGATGGCTCGAGCCCTGTCAAACCAGGTTGAAGATACTAAGCTGACAAATACCAAGCAAGGCAATGCTGTTGAAATAAGCTTCTTGCAAAAGTCTGAAAAATGTGAAGCAGCAGAGGGGAATAGTTCTAGGAGAAAGAATAAATATGAAGGAGAAACTGAACTGAATTCGAACTACATGATTGACAATTTAATCAGAAATCACTATTTGTTATCAGAAAGTGGGAATATGCAACGTGATAATGATACCGCTCAGGCTTCCATTTGGAGGAGTCGTGCTAGTCCGGTACGCCAATGGACGGCAAAACTATCATCTCATGATCATGACATTTCCGAGTCATCTTCGAAATTACCTCCAGATTCTAAGGAGAACACTTTAAAGGCAAAGCTACTTGAAGCAAGAACAAGGGGTCAACGATCACGATCACGCCTGAAAGCTTCAATTATTCCTTCTAGAGTTGAATGATTTGGTCAGTTGAAATGAAAAATCCATGCAAGTCCTGTCATCTTGAGATATTGTTTTTTGTGAATATTAATTAACCCAGGTTATTTCCAAACCTGAATGCTACTCTTATCAGCATATGATATTTTCGTACTTTATCCACTGTACTGCTCTTGGCCAGTCAAATCACAAAAAATATCTAGAATTGTAATGTAGTTGTGTTCTGAAAAAGGCTTAGAACAATTTTTCAAAGGAGACTATCCCATCTTAATGTAGTATCTTTAATTTTTGAGTCTACTGCTGCTTATCCAATTATATTTCAGCTCATAACTAGAAGAGTAGATTACATGTTTGCAGATAGTTGACATTGACTGAACTTTGTGTTCTGAAGTGAAAATGTGAAGCTGAACTCATCTGGATAAGCTTGAGGCATGAAGTACTGGGAACACAAGTTCAAGTTTTCAACTTTGATGCTTGGCCTTGTACCAATGCTTCATTATTGCCGTAAAGACATTGAGAAAACAAATGAGGCCTCTGTTTCCTTTGGGTTCCCTTCCATAATTGAGAAGGTTTGTTCATCTAGATCTATCACTGCTGTGCATAGGGTGTATAGTAATGGGCCTGAAAAATAGTAAAAACAATAAACACAAATGAAGTATTCATTAAAATGGGGAACTCTATACCAGTGAATGAGATTTTTATTTCCTTCCTTCTTTAATATTGTTAGTACATCGAGTTTACCTGAGCAGACGTCATAAAAATCAAAATTTGCTGGTTAAATTACCTGTCATGTAAATGGGATACTTTGCATCCTTGTTATTTCCAAGTAGTGACAAAAAATCACTTTTTGATCGCTTTGGGAGCAAAGCAGCTCTTTCCCCTCTACACAGTGAATTATCATCATGCGCCTTCATTGCCCAAAAATTCAAAATGCTAAATTAGTTAGGCCAGAAAGGATTGGAGTATTTTCCTAGTTTGAACAATGCATAAAGTAAATGGGACACTTGGATCATCAAAAAAAATGAAGAAGTTGAAGATCAGAGTACAAGCTCTGGCCGTGGAATTTTGCTGCTATCTGAATGGGGCTATGTTACCTGCCTGCTGGACATGAAGATGAAGGTACATATTGGCATGGAAAAATGGCTCTGTCCCAACTTCGCGGATTGAATAACGATTTCTTGATGCCGTTTCGATGTTCAAGATTCTTCGTGTTCTTATGTCAATCACATTGTAACTATGACCAATGGATACTTCAGGTGAATGAACCCTCTGAATACCAGAATCCATGCATTTATAAAAGAAAGATAAAGTCGAGGTCAAAATTAACAGAATACAGTGATGGATCAGAACCTACTTTCAAGGCATCATCTATGCTTTGTGCTTCGAGCAAGTCTCTGGAGACAAAGTTTCGACCTATTGCACCAGCTACAATCTCCTCCTCTGTTGGAGGAACTGAATTCAGTGTAAATGCCTGAAGAAATAATGAATTTCAGCCTTCATTGGTTAGCCCTCATAACGTTATTGAATGCATTTTTGGGATTTAGAAGGGCCTGAGAACTCTCTTACAATTAGCTTGTAAAGGGGTGCTTTCACAAAAGGTGTAGAACTCAAAAAGTAATTGTTACAGTTTCAAAACCTTTGAACTACTTTCCTTAATAAAAGCTTAGTTTATGACACCACCATCCTGGCATCCTACGTAATTTTACAGGGTCTTTGAAACCACATAGAATTATCAGGCTATTGTAAAACCACAAGAAGTAATTAGCAATAAATCTAAAGACCCATATACCATTCCAAGACTATTGAACCCAAAAGCACAACTTGGTAGCTCTCCTGCATATGTGTAAGCAATGAAAGAAATCCCATTTGACAGAATTCCCTTGATCAAATAACTGCAATGTCAATGTAAATATTAATTTCGTTAAAGTAAATCGTGTTTTTCTCATTAAGAAAGCTATAAAATTTAGCCATAATATCAGAAATCAGATTACGTGTGGCCAACTAGCGCAACATTTGCATCCTCATTGTGAGCTGCAACAGCCATGGAATCACTAACAAGAAGAATATCAGAACAATCATCATTTGTATCATCATCATTCTTCGAATCCACTGTTGTTTGCGGAACGAATGGAAGTATCTCCTTCCTGAAGTTGAGAAGCATTATCTGGAAACACGAAGGCACTTTCAGAGTAATTTCATCAAACACAGGGACAGAATCGTTTATTACTGCAAATATGAATAAACTTTTACTTCAAGAAATGGCGAGCCGCTTCCATCTGCAGTTCCCAAGAGTTCATCCCAGTATTCAGGGAACTTTTTCTTGTTAGTGATGGCTAGAGATTGCAAGATTGGCTGGGATTTTGGTGTTTGAGCAAAAGGGAGGAGTTGGTTTTGCAGAATAAGGTCTGTAGCCAACCTGCTCTTTATCATTTTGGAGAACCTCTGGCCTATCATGAACCCCATTTGATAAGCATTTTCACATGGGCCAACTTCGAATATTTCCAGATTTTTTCCTTTGACATTGTTACTCTCCATACCAGCTTCTCTAGCCTTCGGGTGGGTGAATGGAGGAGAGGCGGTCTGGGGTAGTGTGGAGGTCCAGAGGGGATGGAATTCTGTATTCGCACCTTATCTTCAAGAATAAAAAAATTACAATTTGTGAATGACTAAAACATCCTTGTATACAATAAGATATTATTTCCCTAATTCCTCTTTCATATTTCTATTTAGCCCTAAATCAATTTTGAATTCCATTTATTCTTGCTTGAGGTTAATATCTCAGACTTTCTCTCATCTTTTCTTCTTCATTAAATCTTAAAATCAATTTTGGGTTTCTTCTTGGCTGGAAGCATTCAATTTGTTGAAAATCTTAGATTCTTGAATTCAAATTCTAGGTTTTTTAGCCTCTTTGTCTTCATGAATCTGCTAACAGGTGCTTGATTTCTTGAAAATATGAGTATTTGACTTTAAGAATCAATTGTTCATTTCCTTGGATAACTTGGGAATGGAGGGCCATATGCATATAATGGGAGCACTTGTAATATTCATTTCTTGTTTAAGGATGGTGAATGTTGAAGCTTCGTTTACATTAATCTCAACTATTGGATAATCGGCTAAGCCTACTGTGAAGTTAACCCACCTATAAATCAAACAAAAGAACCAATTAATGTATGATTTTGAAAGACTAACTTCAAGAAAAACAAGACCAAAAACTGAAAAGAAAAAGGCACGGTTTTCCCCTTTTTGATTCGGCTCAGAAACTTGATTCACACCACAAAGGTATCTCCAATTAGAAGACCATAATTAGTCACAAAGACGGATTCACAAAGAAAGGCAGGAAGTTTTTGTTTTTGCACAAAGCAGAGAGTTTATTCTCGTTCTTGGGGTGAGTTCAAATGAAGAGAAGAGTCTTCAATTTATAGACTTCACAAAAACAGGATTTCCACAAAATCTTGCAAGGATTAGGCAAAATCAAGATTGCAAGATTATATCAAAACTGAAAGATAGAGTTCAACCAAAAAAGGGGATAACGATAATATTTATCTATCTTTCATGTGATTTTCAAATTACCTCCAAGTTGGGTATTGAGCATCTAGTCCAATGGGCTGATTACATCTAAATACCCAACATAATTGGGTTACTTCAATTGTGATGTGGATTTAATTCTTCAATCCTGGGCTTATAACCTATGAAGTTATACGAGCCTCGATTTTTCATCATAGCCTAAGGGATTTGGGCATCACTTACCAAACATGCCCAACAACAATTATTTCTGTAGTTTATGATAGAACTTTTAATTCTAGCATTCATAAGTGCACAAAGTTGAACCTCTTCTTGCAGGATACAAATTGCAGTGGATATCTTGAAACCGTTGAATGTAATAATTGTAAATCTCGTGAGGGCATTACATACAAGAAAAATGGTCATATACCCGTTTCACTTGCATGGGTCAAACAGCTTGTAGTGATTCGTAATCTGCGAAATATTGTTGTGACTTGTAGTTTTTGTATTTATTTGAAGTAACAAATGATTTATTACATTTTGTAATCATTGTAGTATTAATGTATTGATATTGGAACGACCATAAAATTATTATGTTGCTTTTTTATGATGTTATTGCTTTTTGTGCTATTGGAATGACATTAAAGTCATTTTAAATTATTGTGGTTATTTTTTCCACCTTATAGACATCGTTTTTTTTTCCACAAACAAACAACTTTTATATCATTTTATTTTTCTGGAACAATACAAATGTCGTTATAGTTACACATGTCATTCTAATATGAAAAATTTACTACTTCACATAACGACATCAAATCATTTTTGACAAACAAAACGATTTTGATATTGATCTAGTACGAGAGTCGTACTGATTCACATAACGACATTGAAGTCATTCTAGACTAACAAAACAACATTGACGTTGTTATGCCAAAAAGTGTGCGCACGCTACCCATAGTTTAGGGAATTGATATTTTGGCCCCCCAAACTTTCATACTTCGCTCAATTGAGTCATTTTCTAATGTAAATTTTATTGTTTGATTTCCAATTTCACCTAATTAATTCTGTAAGACCTTCAATGTTGTTTCGTGGTCCGGATCAATTATTAGAAACTCACAATTTAGTCCTCAAACTTCAAAAAATCTATTAAGTGACTTGTATCGCACGTATCAATTTAACATAACGATATTGACGTCGTTCTATTACAAATTTATCATCATTGAAATTGTTCTAATTCAAAACATACTTACAACGATATCGTTGCTTTTCAAACGTAACAATAATTGTATCGTTTTGAATGAAATAATTGAAATAATATACAACATTAAAATCATTCTAGTACAAATTTTTTGACATTGAAGTCGTTCCAATCCTAAACATAATACAACAATATTACTATCATTTTTTTCATACGTAACGATAATTATATTGTTCTAGCACAAAATGTCAATTCAACCATCTACGACCACACAACCTTCCTTTGACATACCTAGGACGGATCAGCTGAGGTCATCAAATGGGTTGATACAACTCGAATGACATAGAAAGATTGAATGAAGATACTTTTTTTCCATCGGAGAATTTCGGAGGCAGTGGACAACTCTGAGAGATACTTTGTTTTGAATGGGATTGAACCTACCTGATGATTTCTTTCGATCGTCCTACGTATCTCGGAGGCATGTTGGGTCGTAGACAGTTGAATCAACATTTTAAGCTAAAACGATATAACAATCGTTATCTATGAAAATAAATGATATCAATATTGTTGTAGTTATGTTTCGTATTGAAACGACTTCAATGCAGGAAAAATTGTACTTGAACGATTTTATTGTCGTTATGAAAATAACATAATGGCATTGATGTCATTTTCGTACAATTTTGATCACATTGAGATCGTTCCAATTCAAATCATAGCTATATGACATATATATCAGTTCTTTTCATATAAACGACAATTATATCGTCCTGACTAAAAATGACAATTCGATCGTCCACAGCCCAACATGGCTTTGACATACGTAGGACAATCGAAAGAGGTCATCAAGTAGGTTCGATCTCACTCGAATGGTTTAGAAAGAGCGAATGAAAGTACTTTTTTTGTGTCGAAATTGTTCGAAGGTATAGAAACACAAATATTCCCATGATTTCTTTTGAGTGAGATCGAATCCATTTTATGATCTCTTTCGTCTTATGTATATTAAATTCATGATTGATGGCCGTGGATGGTCAAATATCGCTTTTAACCAGAGCAATATAATTGTCATTTTATATAAAGAGAATCGATATTTATGTCGTTATAGTTATGATTTGAACTCTCAATACCATCAAATTTATACTGAAACGAGTTATGTTATTTCATGGCTTTGATATGCATTAAAGGAAACGATACAAATGTCATTTTAGTTATGATTTGAATCGTTAAAGTTGTGTTAAAATGATATGGATGTCATTATGTTATTTCTTGGCTTTGATATATAACAATATTAACGTCATTATGATTTGAACTAGATTAATATCAATATTGTAAATATTGTACTGAAACGACACAAATGTCATTATGTTATTTCATAGATTTGATGCATAACGATATAAATGTCGATATGTATTAAAAGAAATGACTTTAATGTCATTTTAGTGAAGATCTGGGTGCGTAATTATGGTCCATATTGATGTGCTTGCACCTTCAAGTTGTTCACCATCAGAGAGCAAATTATCCCTTAGACGTGCACGCACTACGTCGTGCAAGCGATGCAAGTTATTTAGCAAAACGATTTCTTCGTCGTTTTATTGGTCTTTAACGAATTCAATGTCGTTATGAAAATCATTAAAACAGTGTATATTTGATACTGAAACATCAACATCTTTTTGTGTCCCATGAACAATTTTAATATTATTATGTTAATCGGTGCAATTTTCGTAATGAAACAGCATCAATATCGTTTTATGTCATAGAAACGAAGTCTATATCATTACGTGAAGCAGTAGTTATATTTTGACGTACCTAAATATCATTTTATTGGTTATGGAACAATATCAACATCTTGGACATGTATGATATTTAAATTTAAAACTAGAGCGGCCTGAAAATATGTAAATTTCAATTACATTTAATATCATTAATCATTGTAGTTATACAACATTCTTAAAACATAAACTACTTCATGCAAACAGAACAAAGCAATTAAAGAACTGTATCAAAACATCAATAAAAATAGCAAAATAAAAAAAAATTAAGGTTTGAAGTCCTATGCCAACAACTCTACAACCAATTTCTTTTGGAGTATTGAGACATAATCCAAGGGAATTTTATTTACGTCTATTTTTACTTGCATAAATTCTATGCAGTTCAGAGTGAATATCCCACACTCATATCTAGAAAATGTTGTGTAATTATATTAATTCTCAACACTAAAATAGTTGTGAAAGCATTATAGTACTTCACAACAAAAAAGTTCTATTAATATTCCACTAATACAATTACCAGCATTATAACCAGATGTGAAATTATCTTAAAAGATTATACTTCATTTCACACATTACATAGTCTAACGAGAGGAATTAAGTCCAGTTTCAAGCACAAACTCCTATTTTTATTCTCAAAACTTAGAAGACGAAAAACATCAAATCTGAAAAGAGTCAAACACAATGAACCTCGAGTCACTCTCAACTTACATACATATTTGGGCAATACGTCTATTATCTCATCTTCAACATCCTATTTAAATTTCCATGTTATCCTATCAAATAAGTTTCCCATTGCAGAGCTAGTATGATATCAATTTTGAGCCTCGTTTTAGTACATATCACTCTTTGAAAAGTTTTACTATAAAGTGTAAATAAAATAATAATAGTAATTCTATTTGAAGAACTCCAATTTCATTCTGGCAAAAGTAGTACAAATTTACTTCATGGTAATGTTCAAAAGATTTATAAGTTCAATCTCAAGGTCAACTTTTTAATTTATTCCGTAGAATCCACGTCTAATTGCTCCAGCAGCTTTACATTACGAATTCACAAACTTAACTCCATTTATAAAGAGCAATGTGACTTGTATTCATTTAAATGTAAATGGATCAGAAATAACTTTTTTACGATTAAGCCACCATAAACGTGT